CACCAGTGGGTCAGCTCCCTGGTCAGGGATTGAACTTGCGCTGAAGCAGCTGAGGCTAGCTGGCTAGCTTTGTAGTGCTGCATTGTAACCGATTGTGCCACCAGGAAGGGCCCCATTCTAAATATCCTAAGACCTTGAAGTTCAGAATAAAACATGCATGTTGGGATTACTCAATCTTACTGTGTGGATATTAAGCAAGGAATCCCTTGCTACCTTTGTTACACCAGAGACATTTTTCTTTCATACTAATGTAGCAACATTTTTTTTTCTTGACTGTTGAGTAGAAGTTCATTTGGGAAAATTACATTCCTTGTCACTTCGTAGATAGAAATGTGAGCATTCTTAATCACCTGCTACTTACAGACTTCCCCATAAATGAGACATCTCTCATGTATCAAAAACTGAGGATCTTATTGTTGTGCAGCAGTGCATTGAATTTGGCTCAAAAGAACAACTAGTTTATATACATATATCTGTGTTTATTTATAAAATCTCTTCAAAAGCAAGAGAAGGAATGAATGGTGATTTCAGGGGTGATGGGTCATAATAGTCTTTTCCATATTGAGTCTGGAAGCTGCAGGCCCACTGAGGCAGTACAGCACTGGTGAAGTGTGAACTCCAGATTCAGAAAGATCTGAGCTGCACCTTGGCTCTGAGCCTTGGTCTCCTTATCTATAAATTGGGGCAGTTATAGCTCATAAGCTTATAATATAAAGGTAAAACAGAATATTTACTAATTTCTTGCCTACTGCATGACTGGGTAAAGAACAGCTCCTTTTATTATTACCATTCCTGCCGTGTTCAAGATTAGAATACACAGTGCTCTTTTCTTCATTAAGGTATGCCGAGGATGACTCCAAAGATAGAAGATTTGCCAGATTATATAGAAGTAAACAGCGGTAAATTTAATCCTGTCTGCAAAGCGTCTGGCTGGCCACTGCCTGCTAATGAAGAAATGACCCTGGTGAAACCCGATGGAACAGTGCTCCATGTAAGAATTACTCACAAGCTGCCCTTATTACAGCAGCAAAGTTTTCACTTTAATCATCCTGCTGAGGACTGTGATCCACTTGGGACTTGCATCTTTCTAGGCTCTAAGAATATTTTTCTTTGACAAAATGCCATATTCCTGGGGAGGTAAAGACTTCATGCACCCTTTTTGGTCCCCCTGCAGCCTCCATGACCAGCCCATCATTGCCAGGTTGGAAATCTACCACAATGTCACTGAATGGCACTCATCCTGCAGAACACTCCAGTCCCGTGTGCTGAGAAGTACATGTCAGCCTGTGCAAAGCTCCCTCCTAACAATATCCGTACGAGATTCTTCTGCTAGCTCCCAGGTGTATGGGATGTGAAACTGGTCAACTGTTCTCAACCTCTTGAGAGCAGCAATTAGTGGGGCACAAAAGAGGAAAATTTAATACAGTCAATTTTAGTATATGTAGAACTGTTTCCACAGTTTAAATGGGATGAATTCCTGAGGTCTGTATTCATTCTTCAGGTACCCCCCATCTGCTCACCTTGAGTCATTGCTGGTGTTCAATGCCAGTGGGGGTGCTATCACAGCAGATCTTCTTTGCTAGAAAGAACTAAACTATTTTTACGTGTATTGGAGACCAGCTCCAACTATTGAGGTGTCTGGAGGCAAGACGGGCAGGACCCTAAGGTGTGAAGGCATCGGGTGAGGAGATTCCAAGAGGGGAGAGGGAGAGGGGAGAGGGGAGCAGACGAGAGGAAGACACAGGAGTCAGGATTGGGTGCAAGTCTTCCTGCTCATCTTTTTGCAGGTCTTTATTTATACTGTGTAGCAAGATTTAGTTACCTGATGCAATAATGCATCAGGTAAGTTAATAAGAAATCGGCATAAAAGTTTTAAAGGAAGAGGGGAACAATGCATTCTCTTCTGCTACTTTATGGCACACTATACTATACATCTTTGTGATAACTTTCATGTATATGGATGTTTAACTGTGACTTTAAAGGATCAGGGTCTGGGAAAGGATGAGCTGTTAGCAAAGGATTTAGGAGTCCTAGGGAAGGAATAAATTGTATTAGCAGAGTCGTCAGTGATAGCCTAAAGAGAAGCTAATAGCTAACTTAAGGTTAGCAGAGAGTAGCTAGTATTTGTTTTAGGAAGAGAGTAAATTAAGAGGAAGTCACATAGTTATGCATAAAGCAAAACCTGTGTTGATAATGTTAGGAAATTGTCCATGGGTCCTTATGCCCTGGGAGTTATCTAAGATTCGCTTTTTGTCAAAAGACCAAGGAAGCTTTCCAGGAGTCTTGATGCTCCGGGGTCTTATCTCTCCAGGAGCTTGCCTTTTGTCTTCAGTCAAAGGAATTTCCTGCCCAGGAGCAGCTCAGCTTGTACTTTGCCCAGGCCAGATAGCCAATTTAGAGCTAAGGCAAGCCAGTTACAAACTGATGTTGCTACAATATTTTTTTTATATTATGATTATACAAAAAAGGGGGGTCATAACATAAGTTAGCAGTGGAAATTCTGATTTTTCAGAGCTTTTCCCGAGCTACCTGGAATCTGTCAGACGATAGCTGTTACATAGCTTGTGTCAACAGTGTATTTCCCTTCTCTCTCCCAACAATTCCAAATGCAGTAGAGACAAGAGCCCCTCAAAAGTACTCTGTCAACAGTGATTCTCAGAAAGTAGATGTATTTTCTTGTTGAAAATATTTGAAATGGTTATTTTTCTCTCAAAGATAACTAAAATCTACTTGACCAGAAGACAGATCAGTTACCTCTTGGAGGCAGGATATGTAGAATGTGCCATTCTGATCACCTACAACCGCAAATGTTTTCGATTCCACTAAAACCATGCACTAGGTACTAGAAGTCAATGAACAGCTTCCAAAATCTTGTTAGCCTTTTCGTGATTTAGTGTAACTAATGGCTACTACACAGTGAGGACAACTGAACTGTTTTTGCAAAAGTGGAAACTGGCCAAGTGAAGTTAAGTAACTATGTTTGGCCAAAAATGGCAGAACTGGGTTGTGAACACACGTGCATGTCTTCAGAGCCCTGGTTTTTCCACAGCACCGTTTTTGACAGTTCCTCAAACACTGTGGGAAGACATTTTGTCCTCCCATTCAGCCATTAGATTGAAGAACAAATGTTACCAAATGCTATTTAAAAGGAATTTGACTCCTTGCTTGTAAGTGTTTACTCCACACTCCAAAACACACAAATACAACAGGATTTGTGAGGGCGTCAATCCAACATAAACTTTCAGGATTACTACAATAGCTTTGGAAATATGCCAATGATTATGCTAGCATTGCATTTAGCTTCTTAATCACTCCTAGAAAATGTCTCATTAAACAATGAGATGGGGTCAGTGTTAAGGACCTTTGTGTTTATGCCTCTAGAAGTTATTTTTTGTGTGTGTGCCTTTGCCCTTTGCAGCCGAAAGACTTCAACCACACAGGTCAACGCTCGGTGGCCATATTCACCATTCACCGGATCCTGCCCCCTGACTCAGGAATCTGGGTCTGCAGTGTGAACACAGTGGCTGGGATGGTGGAAAAGCCTTTCAACATTTCTGTAAAAGGTAAGCTCCATTTTCCAGAGAAAACCTGCTTATAGCTTTGATGGGCTATGATTTCATATTTCTGGGTATTGCTACAATACAGAAATACTATCTGATCACTGAAATACCTTTTGGATGTTTTTCAGGATGCTAAACTTAAAAACAATAATTCAATGCATGGAAATGGAAAGGAGAGATTAAGTGCACTACCTTTGAATTCACATTGTTCTGGTTTGATTATTGTCCCTAACAACTAGTAACATTCTATGTGGCACTGAGCAAATTAATTTAAATTCTCTGAGCCTTTATTTGTAAGTGAGCTCTATTTACTATGTTTCAAGATTATTGCAAACATTTATTAAATTATAGTACATTTGGAATTGTGTCTGGCATACCAGGGCTGTTAACATTTATGTTCCACAGGTAGTTTAGCCTCATCAATATTGTCACTAGCTATTCATTATCAGAGAGAATAATTTGGAGAAATTTTACTTTGAGTATTACTTAGCATGAAGCACAAGCTATGCTATATAATTGATATAAATGGTCTTTCACATACTCATGGTTGTGAATATTTTTCCTGCTCTAAAGTAGTGTTTCAAAATTTAAGTGGATATGGCATGAAAGAAAGTGGAAATAAATCCAAGTTAGCTTGGCTGATGAACATAAATATAACAAGGAATTTTAAATGTGAAAGGTACTTTAAAACACCAAACAACTCTCTGGCATATATTTCAAGAAGGGTAGTGAGCTAAGTGCTTCACACACATCATCTACTTTAATCTTTATATGAAGCATGTGTTATGGATATTGTTATCTTCTCCTCACCAGTCAGGACACAGGTTCAGCACAGCTGGTCAGCAAAATCTTAAGTTTTGAACTTGAGATCACGGAGTCCACACCCTGAACTGTCTCTTGCAGACTCCTGAGCTTTCTGACTCTCTTGTTACATGAGGTGGCAAGCTGTCCATAGTTGATTGTATTTTACCCACTTTGTTACTTAATTGGAAGTATTTTGGTGACCCCAGAGGTAATTTCTAGAAAAAAAAATTGATGTAAATGCTGCAAACATAACTTTTCAAAGGTTAGTAACAACAGTAGCATACTTTTCTACATTTGGCTTTTCTGCTTTGGGGATCCATGTAAATCCACCACAGAATCTTCAATATTGGAAAAATGGCTAGCTCTTTTCTATTCTGAAAACATTCACATGATCAAAATAACTTCTTACATTTTGCATGTTTGGGGTCGAAAGGAAATGATATGTAGCCAAGACAAAATTATCTTATGTCCCAGGTCAAGATATTGGTAGGTTTGATTTCTTCTGAGCCTTGTTCTCCTGCTTTCACATGTCCTTCCGACTGTCGGCAAGTCCTAATTTAATCTTCTTATAAGGGCACTAGTCATGTTGGACTAAGAACCATCCTCACTACCTCATTTTATCTTAAGCAACTCTTTCAATTCTGTTGCATTGTGAAGTGTACTGGAGTTAAAGACTTCAACATGTGAACTGGGACAGGATGGTCACAATTCATCCCAACCCTCATGCAACAACTTGAAAAAAGCAGCAACTTGAAAAAAGGAATTCATCCCTATAACAATATAAATAAATCAGGATAATATAAATAAATCAGGATAATATAAATAAATCAGGATAATAAACAAAAGAAAGCACATACTTTATGATTCCATTTATATAAATCTAAAGAATAGGTGAAACTAATTTCTAGTGACAGTAATTCCCTTTTGACTGGTAAAGTATACAAAGGGCACTGGAGATGTTCTCTCTTAATGTGGATTGTAGTTACATGGGTATGTACATAGGTGAACTAAATGTACTTAAGAATTTGTACTTTACAGTATGTATATCTGCAGACAAATAATTAAGATATAAAATTATAAATTGCTAAGAGGAAGCTTTATGGATCATTATTTTTATTTTTTTGCTTGTAACAAAATATATTTTTAATTTTTATAAGTTTATTTTTACTTCATTTTGTGTCTTTTCCATCAGTTTTAATCCCCGTGGACATCCCATCACCAAGTCACCTGTATGCCATCACCATAGTCCCATGCACTCGTCTCCCTCCCCCCATTTTTGATCTCATTCCCTACTCCACCCTGTAAAATATCTCTGGTATATAGTAGTTCATTATTATCTCCCCCCCACACCCCTGGTCCTTTTTACACCGGCTATGAGTGAAACCATCAGTATTTTTTTTTTTCTTTCTGGCTTATTTCACTAGGCATGTTCCCTTCCAGCTCCATCCATGTTACTACAAAAGGCATGAGTTTATCTTTTTTGATTGCTGAGTAATATTCCATTGTGTATATGTACCACATCTTTTTAATCCAGTCATCTACTTTTGGGCATTTGGGTTGATTCCATGTCTTTTCTATTTTAAATAAAGCAGCAGTAAACATATGGGGTACAGGTATCTTTTTTAATCATTGTTTTTGTGTAGATGTTTTATGTCTTTTGGGTAGATACCTAGGAGTGGGATTGTTGGTTCATATGGAAGCTCCATGTTTAGCAGTTTGAGAAACCTCCAAACTGTTTTCCATAGTGGTTGTACTAGTTTGCATTCACACCAGAAATGTAGGAGAGTTCCTTTTTCTCCACATCCTTGCCAACATTTGTGGTTGATAGTTGTTTGGAGATGTGCCATTCTCACTGGGGTGAGGTGGTATCTCATTGTGGTTTTAATTTGCATCTTCCTTATTATGAGTGATTTGAACATTTTTTCATATGCTTGTTGGCTGTCTGCATTTCCTCTTTGGAGAAGTATCTTTTTAGCTCTTCTGCCTATTTTCTGATGGGGTTGTTTATTTTTTTAAAAAATTTTAATAGTTTATTTTAACATCATTTTGTGTCTTTTCCCATCTCAGCTATAATTCCCATGAATCATTATTTTTAGAGGAGACTGGATTTAAAGACTATATTAAAAATGTATTTGATTGTACAAAGGAAGCATGGCTTAGTGAGTGAAGTAACTGACTTAGTGGATGAATTCACTCATAGCAGCACTCTCTTTTCAGAAACTGACCAAAGTAAAATGCGTATCCAGTTCACTTACCCCGTTTGAGCTTGGAATTGTCTCCAGTCAGGAATACTGCTTGATTGCCAGCTTTCTTACCTGTCCTTGAATGGCCACTCCTAAACCTTCATTCAGTCAGTAAGATTTACTGAAGCCCGTTTGGTTCAGACACTGCTTTAGGCACGGGGGATACTAGTGCAGGCTGTAGGAGAGATTAAGTGTGGGTAGTGAGGCTTCCCTGAGTAGGTAGTATTTAAGCAAAGATTTGAAGGTAATTTCTAAAGATGGTGAGTCAAAGCATGAGACAGAGAAAAAGTGGTTACTGAGCACTGTAATATCCATCCATCTGAAACATTCTACATTTGATAATACATACTCTGAGAGGGGGAAAAAGAAAACCACAACAGTTATACATTTCTAAGGACAGGAGCTATGGTAATCACTGGACATTCATGCAATGGACAAATATTTTTCAGCACCTGGCAAATAAACCATTACCCCAGTTGAACTTAGAAATAGTACAATGTTTTATAACCTTTTATCATTATTGTCCCATTAATGAACCCTTTGAGAAATTTTCCTCCAGAATCTCCCATCACCATGAAATGTCAGTATCACACATATATGCCTGTTTATGTCTAGGGGTTCTTTGGAAGGTCACAAACTCTTTAATTGCTAAGATTTTTTTCTTTTATCCCCAAAGAGCCAATCCTCACCCTTTCACAGTACTTTTCCTCCTACTGAGATCACGTGGTCTTTGAGATAGGGAGATTTTTTGGGAATTATCCAGGTGATTCACTCTAATCACAAGTGCTTAAAGGCAGGGAATCTTTCCTGGTTGTAGTCAGAAAATGGTAACATAACAGAACAAGTGTCAGAGAGGAAGGGGTCATAAGCCAAGGAATGCAGGTGGTTTCTAGCAAATGGAAAGAACAAGGAAACAGATTCTCACTTAGTGCCTTCAGAAAGGAACCACAGCCCTGCTCACACCTTGATCTAAGCCCAGAGAGACTGAGAGAGACTAAGGGGGTAGGGGAGAAGAGAGAATGAATATATAGTTTGGTGGGAAAACTGTTATCAAGTAATCATACTGCATCATAAACTATAATAAATTCTAAAAACACAGCAAAGAAAAACACAGCAAAGAAAAAGTGTTAAGTCCTGTGAAAATTTATGTTACACAAGCCTAGTAAAGTTTTCTGATGTAGTCTCTGTGCAGAAGTCGCATCAGCTGAGAATGAATGATGAGTAAGAATTAAGAACAGTGGGAATTAGAACATGTCTCACAGGAGAACATTCATAAAGATACCAAGACAAAGCTGTTTGGTGCATCTTTAGTTGGATGCAAGGGATGAGGTCAGTGGAACAGAGAATATTAGGTTGGGGGAAAGGAGTCTGGAGAGTAGTTGGGGCCTGATTGTGCAAGGCTTGGCAGTTCATAATATGAATCTTAGATTTTATTAGATTTATGAATAGAATAGGAATCCATTATAAGGTTAGAGCAGAGGAGTACTATTTTAAGAAAACATTCAACTATAGATAATGGTTTGGAGGGACATGAGCAAAGTAAGGAGATTTCAGAGTAGGTATTATATTGAATCTGAGCTGAGAGCTTTCTAGAAGGGCTTTGTTGGAAATGTAAAGGCTCCCACCCCTACCCACCTAAAAACAACGATAACCCAACACTAAAACTAATCTGATTGCCGTTATTTTATTTAGTTCTTCCAAAGCCCCTGAATGCCCCAAATGTGATCAACACCGGACATAACTTTGCTGTCATCAATATCAGCTCTGAGCCTTACTTTGGGGATGGACCAATCAAATCCAAGAAGCTTCTATATAAACCTGTTAAGTATCATGAGGCTTGGCGACATATTCAAGGTAAGGTTTTAATAGGAAAGGCTCCAGCTGAAGATGTACCACTAGGAAAGAAAATTCCCTTTTCCCTGTCATAACACTGTCCCAAGGTAGTAGTAGAAACTTCCATTGCAAAGTATTCAGGAGAGAGTGCGGCCCTCTGAGTTCCAGGGCTAATCTTCCGAAAGTGGTGGTGGGATATGGAACAAGCCTGCATCAAGAGTTACTGTTGAGGTCTGTATTTCCTGCCCCGGCTTCTCTGGATTGCCAATCTTGTTTTTAGTTACTTTGTTTTACATATTCATGGCGAAAAATACCTAAGTATAAATATGGTCATTGAAAAAACCAGGGTTGCTGGAAAGACAGAGAATGTGTTAGCTCCCAAGGATGACTGTTGCTGCTCTAATGATTTGTTTACCGTCACCCCCCCCTCCCCTTTTTTTAAACATTGGGTCTTGCTCTGTTCTGCAGGCTCCTAACCCACAGAGATTTTGAGAGGAATTTGGAGCCCAAAGCTTGGGTTGTAGAGATTGTCTGGGTGCACGGTGGAGCAGGGATAGGGCCACAAAGAGCTACATGCTCCTTTTCCCAGCTGAAAAACAAACACAACAAAATGTGATTAAGTATCAAAAGTCTATGAAAACAGTCTCATTCATTTAAAAACACAAATCGCATTTCTGATTTCTACATGGTATTATCAGTGGACCATTATTGTTTGAAATATGCCATCTTGTCCAGAGAACTGCCATGGTCAAGTCTGTAGGTGATACACATCCCTTCAGCGCTGAGCCTTGCAATGCCTGTGGCTTCCTGAAAAGGGTCCCCTACCAACCTCATGTTGATACTTGAGGAAGCTATTTAAAAAAAAGAAGAAATAGAAGGTTTGGGCTAATGAAACTAGCTGACCTGGGTACGCTGAGTAAGTCATGCTATTAGTACCAAGCTACTCACATTCTGTTGCAGATGCAACCAAAATTCAGAGTCTCAGAAATGTAAGACTGATTTGCTAGATATATGCATCAGCAGGAATGGGTAGGTCTTGCTAAAAAAAAAAAAACAGCTGCAGTTCTTTTTCCATAGGGTGGTAAAAGTCTATTATCTTTTTCTACAAGTAAACGCCCACAAAGTGGTCTCCTAAGAACACTTAATACAGTCCAGTTTTTTTCTCTACTGACCAGAAATGTATTCTACAGCAGGGAAAATGATATAAATGGAGAAGCAGAGGCTGCCTAAAACAAATTGCTAAGATATATTTTGAAAAATCATTTGTTTATGGAATCCATTTTCAGGTACTTCAGGACCCTTCTTTTGTGATATGACCATTCTTCTTGTCAATCTATGTAAACTCCCAAAAGAGCTGGTTTATCACGATGGCTTGATGTAGTTGAAGGCAGTGAAAATTATTTGATGCTCTATTTAAGGCCCTCCCCTATAAACCTCATTGATGTCTTACATCATGGAGGATTAGTGCAGTCTTAACTGCACTAAAATACAACAACAAAAGCTCTTCTACAGCAGAAATGTGTGACTCAGACACATACTAATGTCCACATCATGACCTATAAACTTCCTTTAATAAGCCTTATTTTCCTTACATTAGGAACAGCAAGGCCCTGAAGATGAATTGCTTCTCTGTTTCACTCAGACATTGTACTTTAAAAAACCAAACATTAGTTCCCATCACAATAACAACATTCCAGCTTAAAGAATGTCAAGGAATGCCAACTTAAGTTTCCTGGACTTTCTCTCTTCTCAGTGACAAATGAGATTGTTACCCTCAACTACTTGGAGCCTCGGACAGATTATGAGCTCTGCGTGCAGCTGGTGCGGCGTGGAGAGGGCGGGGAAGGGCATCCTGGACCCGTGAGACAGTTCACAACAGCTTCTGTCGGTCAGTGGAAGCAAACAGCATTAATTCATGAGCTGGGTGGGAGGGGGAGGAAGGGGAAAGAGGAAGGAAGACCAGGAAGGGTGGTGGTGGGTGAGTGGGTGGGTGGGGATGGAGGTGGAAGGAGTTTGCTTTTCAGTGGGTGGGAAAGTGACAGGAAGGCTAGCAGCTTGGAGCCAAACCATTCCTTTATTTGGGCTGCACTCCTGGGCTAGCTCCCTGGGGGAGGGTGTCTGCAGCCATCCATGGGGACAGAGGAGGAAGCAGATGAACCTTCAGGAAGGCAGGGACATCCCTGAGGAGCTGGGGTTTACTTAGTAGCAACTGCGTTAAGCCTTGGCTCTGGTGGTTCGCCACCAGCTTCCTGTTTCCATCCAAGAGCCTGGGCCAGGTTCTTGCAGCAGACCTGCTTCAGAAATTCTAGTTTGTTTATTTTAAAAAATAATTTCTAACTTATCAAAGTAATTCATGCACATAGTTAAAACATCAAATGGAATGAGAGGCTTTTATCTAAAGAACAGCGGTTCCATGGCGCCCCCTCCACCTCCCGTGTGGCTGCCTACAGCAGTGCCTGAAGCTGTTTCTCATAACTTATGTGTTTCTGAGTCAGTGGTTCGCAAATACTAGAGTCACCTGGAGAGCTTGTTAAGTCAGATTTCCTGGAGACCACTCTGAGTTTCCGATTCAGTAGGTCTGAAGTGAGGAGCAGGGTGAAGATTCAAGAATCTGCATCTCTAAAAATTGCCAAGTGATGCTTGCTGGTCCTGGGTGCACATATCTCATAACATATCAGCAGCGCTTCTTGATAGGTCAATGGGAATTCTGTTTCCTGGCCTTTTGAGGTGTTCATGTAGGAATCCTTGTGTGGTGAGATTTCTCAATGCTCACTCAGGCTGCAGCTTTTCACTATGCAGCTCTCTGTGGCACAACATGGGAGCAGCCCATTGTGAAGTTCTCTTTTCCTGTGTTCACGGTGTATAACTACTCTATTCTCTCTCCTGGCCCTACCTTTACAGTTACAAGGGTACATGTTTAATTCATATTGCATTGGAGGGTCAGAATGATCCTCTTACGCATTGTATTGACTGAAACATAGTGTCAGAATTATTAATTTGCTTTTGTGATATGTCTTATGCATCACCATATTAAATTTTCAGGCTTAATAATCTTTTGTTTCTCCTATTATCATTGTCATTATGTGGGCCGCCTATTTGTGGGGCCTCATCCATGCCCTTAAAATTCAGTTGTACTGCAGGCACACACAAAAGGGTCAATAATGGGTTTATTTACAAAAGGGGAAAAGGAAAGGAAACAACCTAGGGAAAGAGAGAGGGATAAAATGCAACTGGAATATCTTTCTTGCCTGGCTGACTTGGAGCTCTGATAGCAAACTAACTGAAAGTCCCGAGTCACTCGGTCCTGAGAGCCACTTCCCAAGCGAGAGAACCCTGTAGGAAATGGTGCCCTACAGGGTTTATCCCCCAAAGTCCCAGAATGCCTGTTTAGCTCCACCCTTGGGTTCTTGCAGTTCTCTCCCTGGTACTGCTGGGAGTTGTAGTTTCCAATCACTGGAGTAGGGGGTGGATCCACAAGACTCTGCAGAGTTCCTTTAGGACATCCTTCCCCTTAACAATTATTAACATGGGTGCCCAAAGACCCCATTTCCTTTTATCCTAACTGGTAACATTTCCAGTTCTTATAGTTCATTTACTGAAGGCCAGAGGCTATGGAATTATTTAGAGAGAAAAAGAATACCTTGCTCTCTAACAGAAATGCTCCCTCCATGCCACCCTACTAGTTTTTGCCTGACTAGCAGCATCTTGAAAGAACCAAACAGGACGCAAGAGCTACTTTGGCACTTGCAGGAGCATTGCACGAGTAAGACACAGCTGCTTAGGACCCAGAAGCTCGCGAATACAGAAACCAGTGCCAGAAGCTGTATGTAAGTTAGAGGATGAAGGCCTCACCCTGATGCTGATCACAGGGCTCGATATTTCATCAGGTGGCTGCTAAAAGGTAAATGGTAGTTAATCTTCTCTCAGCCCAGTGCTGATGAAGCAAAAGAGGAAGGTCACAGTCTGATTCAGGATGTAAAGTATTTATGGAACAGAACATAAAACACTTCACAGACCCACACTGCACTGTCTTCAGCCCTCAGAATATGTTCCAGCCAGGATGTATTCAGAGGTCTCCTGGAATATTTCAAAGTAGTTCTCAGGGGTGGTGGGAAGGGAATTCTTAAAGGTTCTTTCCCATCATTTGAAATTTGCTGATGCTCATTTTTTAATTCATTTCACCATCGCTATTTATAAGTGTGTTGCTAGAGTAGTGAAGGTCAGGAGGGGAGGGAAAAGAACACAGTCTGAGCATATGACAGAGAGAGGGCAGTAGGGAGGAGACAAGGGAAGGGACTTTCTCCTCTGTACCACGCACTTCCTGGAAGGCTCACAGGTGAGCCCCTGGCCATCACCTCTGTGCTGCTTTCTCACTGCAAGTCTGCTAGCCAGACTTGGAACTTACATGTTATCAATGAGTGAAAAGAGTTACTATCCCCTCAATTTGCAAAGTTTCTAGAGAAAGAACAAATAAGACCAAGCAAATGGGAGGACTGTTTGCTAGTTGAAGAGCAGCTGGCGAGCAAAAGGGCACTCTTCCTATGGGTGGTACAGACCTTTCATCAGTTTCTCAACTTCAAAGTCATCTGTCCCAGTGGAGCTTTTAGGTAACCTAAAAAGCATTTGTCCTAATGTCTCCTCTGCCATGAGGTTTTAACACCATGATTTGTGGTTGTGTGTGCATGTGTATTCATAAACTATTGTAGTATCTAAATGTTCTCATACTTTTGTCCCCTTAAAGCAGTAATATCACCTTGGGAATGCATGCATTAGTGGAGCCTTGCCCTGTGTTTGAAAAGACTTTGTCTAGAATTAAATGAATTTACTCTATTGACTGAAGACACAGATTCTTCCTCTGTCCATTATTGACACAAAAGATACCTTGAGAAGGGGGAGAAAAGGAGGGAAGAAGGTGGAGAGGGACGAGGTAGAAAAGAAATGAGGTAGGGACGTGGAAAGGAAGTCATGTTAATAGAGCCCCTAACACCTTCCAAGTAATTTCACATTCATTACCTCACTTTCTCCTCCTGAGACTGGGAGGTGAGCATTTTTGTGTCATGTTACATGTGAACTTGGCGAGCTTACAAAATTTTCAAAGTGGTGTGCTCCAGTCACTTTGATTTCAAAACCTGGATCATTTCCATTCAGTTACCTCTCCCGTAGTGTAGGTTCCTGTGGGTAAAACTGGGCAGAGTATGTGGCCACAGTCCATTCCTTATGTGATCAGAACAGGACTGAGCCTGGCCCTCCCCCCACAGCTGTTATGTCTGAAATTCTCCTTGCTACAGAGAAATAAACCTGAAATTGCTTCAGTTCAACCCAGCGGACTGCTCAAATCATAACAGAAACACTGAACAATAACCCACAATCCCACAACATGGGCAAATTCACTGTTTTCATTTTTATCAGTTTCCTTCCTCTCCTGTTAACTGTAGACATTACTTTTACCAGATGGCAATCAGTTTCTTCTCCTGTACTATAAATATTTTGATTGGGTCTCCATACTTTTTCCAGTTATCTGTTAATCCATAGGATGGCTCTATCAGAATTAGTAAAACATGCCCTATTTTGAGCAGGCAGGTTTCTTCCAGGCATTGCTGTAATGGGCACCTTCATGCACAGAGTTTTTCTTCTCCCCTGGGATTGTTTCTTCAGGATAAATCCCTGGTAGACCGATTATAAGGTCAAAGTATATGGTCATTTCTAGGTTTCTTGAAAAATATTCCCAAGTTGTTCTCTAAAAGGGTTGATTTTTTTGTATCACAATCACCCAAGCTACAAGCTAAAATTATTTAAAAGGTTATTTTGATAGGGAAAAAAAGTGTTAGCTGGCAGCTCACATGTGTATCTCTGATAGCTGTGCAGTTGTATAAAATAAACCAAGCTTATTCTTTAATGTGGCCTTTTGAAGATGTTGCTATCTTTATCATCTGTAAAAATGATTATCTTCTCCGGTTTCTCCTAGGTCTTCCTCCTCCAAGAGGTCTCAGTCTCTTACCAAAAAGTCAAACCACACTAAATTTGACCTGGCACCCGATACCTCCAAACTCTTCGAAAGAGGACTTTTATGTTGAAGTAGAGAGGAGGTCTGTGCAAATGAACAGTGACCAGCAGAATATTAAAGTACCAGGCAACTTGACTTCAGTGCTGCTTAACAATTTACACCCCCGGGAGCAGTATGTAGTCCGAGCCAGAGTCAACACCAACGCCCAGGGGGAATGGAGTGAAGATGTCACAGCTTGGACCCTGAGCGACAGTAAGTTTAAGTAAGGCGGGATGCCCTAGCCTTGCCTAAATTACCTTTTCGCCTCTGCCATATGGACTTAGCTGCCATCACTTCAAGACTGTTATTTAAGAAATGATAAAAGGCATCTGGTTGTGAGTAGGAGCTGATTCATGCCAGATACAACACAGCAAATTGTTTTAATAACCTGCAAGATAGAAGAAAGTTCCATGTCTGAGATTTGTAACAATCTAGACCCCTTTCCTAGAATTATTTAATAAGTAAATAAATAACATGAACCAGACTTACAAAGTAAATTAATAATGTGAATCTGTTTGTCTCAAGCTTGTTTACTCAGGTTTTTTTGGGCTTGTGCATTATCAGTAGTGTTGGGTATCTGTACCCTCAGATGGCGATTAATTACAAATGGGGCTTTCCTAATCTTAAAAGCCAAGTAATTTTGCTTGGAGATAAATCTTCCTAACAGACAATACTTAGAGTTACCATATAGCTAGTTATAATACATACAATAAAATCACCTTCCTTTCAAAATATTCGGAAGTTCAGACTTTCTCTACTTCAGTTTAATCATTTAAAACTGCTAGAAATTTCTCCAATTTCTTCATAGTGCTGACAGCAATTTTAATCACAGAGCAGGTTTCAGGTTGACTCCCTTGTTCTGGAGCCTTTAGGGGCACTAGATGTTTCTTGGTCATACCAGGTACCACTTTCGTCAGGATCATGGTGTCTGAGCCTGCAAAATCTGAGAGCTGCTTTTGCAGCTGGCTTCCATTTTCTCAGTCAGGGGTGTAGAAGCTGGCTTAGTGTTTGGTATTCTTTTCTTACTGATTTGGAAAAGCTGTGTAATTTGGATATGATTGTTGTTACATACATTGCAAATGCATTCCTCCACTTTTATTTTGTTAATGGTTGTTTTCTTTTTTACCCTCTGGACAGTTTACATTTCAGTGTAATCAGGCCTGTGTGGTTTGCAGTTCCTGTGTTTTGGAATTATACCCTACAACCAATATATGCTCTCTATTTTTTCCAGTAGTTATGCTATTTTGTTTTGAGTATTAGGCCTTCAAGACATAGGGATGTTATTTTGGGATCTGCTATACAGGTTTGATTCTTTTTAACTTTTATTATTCATCTACAGCAAAATAACAGTCCAATGCCATCTAGTGATTCGTTATACTTTCTATGGCACACACCAAGTTCTCATATTGGTTTTACATAATTTCTGGACACTCTGTTCTCTTCCACTAATCTGTCTGTTCCCACACCAGTTCTAATCTGTTAAAATTGTTATAAATTTGTTAACTGTTTTAATAACTTCAGGGTAAATATCTATTTCTAGTTTTCAAAGTCTTAGATGGTCACTCACTCTTCTGTTTGGATTTTATCCTCAGCATTATATACCTGCAAAATCACATGAGCATCATACTTACAGAATTAAATGAATGAACAGCAGCTAGTAGTCGCTGAAGAGTACTCTTGTCTTTGATGGTGGTATGAAATTTATTGGGGGTGGAGGTGATGCTAGAGGCGATGGTAGAGACGCTGCGGCCGGCAGGGCAGGGTCAGGAGTAGGCGAAGGAGAATGTGGATGAGAAATTTCAGTAATCATTGATATGCTTGTTGATATACTATATTGTCTTTGGCTGATCTTGATATAGTTGCTCTGAAGTAGAATTAATGGTCCTAGTTAGAAATTTTATGTTGATGTCCAGTCTGTTAAGAGTAAAGAGTGGGATGAATTAGGTTTGGCCTGTGGCTCCAAGCACATATATATGTATATATGTGTTGTATGTATATGTGTGTGTGTTTATATATATATATATACGTATATATGTATATACATACATACATATATACATGTATATATATACATATGTGTGTGTATATATATATACACACACACACATATATATATATATTTGACACTTAGGATGTTTTTTTTTGAGGAGAGTAGAGTGGTCTCTAACAAATGATCTTTAACAAATGAAGTAACTATATACACACACACATATATATATATATATATTTTACACAGGATGGTTTTTTTTGAGGAGAGTAGAGTGGTCTCTAACAAATGATCTTTAACAAATGAAGTAACTCAAATACAGGAGAGGACAAGCAACTTAACCAAAATTATGCAGCTAGTAAATTGGTGAGGGCTATAATTTATATTTAAATTCTGTTTATTTTTTTGCCAGGCGATGCTGTCCATTTTCTCTTTGGATGGACAACAAAACACTGCAAAGTAATTCTTAAAGAGATTTCTGCAGTCACAGCCCACTCCTAAACTGTTCATGTTCTGCTGAGCATTTCCTGAATTGTCTTAAAATCTATTAACATGTAGGTTATTAGTCTTGGATTCATAAAACTGGAATCAGAGATCCACTGAACTAGCCCAAAGGGTGACCTTTCAGCCATAAATCAATAAATTTGTATATGCAAATTCAAGATGCTTAATTGGCACCCAAATTATGCTCATTATTCTAGCAGGTATTTATGAGGTATTTATTTGCACCTGCTTCATTTTGTAGCACCGCTAGGATACCATGTTATTTTACACTTTTATAAAGATACATACAAAAAGGTAGTATTTAATACAAAGGAAATTAAGGCATCACATTTAATTGTGATTTTGGATTATTAACTGCTTGTTAAACATAGAAAATCAAAATCTGGTATGTAAGATTCAAAATCCAATACCTAATTCTCATACATTGCCAGCTACCTAACTAAATAGAATGATGTGGGACATCAACATCATGAAAAGAGAAAAATTAGAATGAAGCAATTTTTTTTTAAAGATTTATTTGTGCATACAGAACTGGGGTACAGGCCAGAAGCTCACCAGAGAGAGTGGGAAGAAGAACAGGCAGATCAAAGAAGTACACTGCTGAGGGGAGCAGCGGGCGGGTCAGGAGAGGTCTGCCGCGCCATGTGGTCACCTCCGGGGCAGGCGGGAATGGAACTCATATGGAAGTGGCTTTAGCTTCTTAGTGCTGTGCTTTAACCCGCTGCGCCACCAGGGAGGGCCAAAACAATCTTTTAAGTTAAAAATAGAAAGAAGGTTTAAGTAGTAAAGGTTACAGTAGTTAAACCCTGTTTGTTTTCAACCTAAAGAACTTGTATTCAAATAAAAAGAGAACCCATGGGGGGGGGGGACTTAAAGTTCATAAATGGTAACATAATATATAGCATATATTTTAATTTACAACATTATATTTTAAGGTAACTGGTTCATACCACTGTTGATGTTATGTGTACAGGCTCATACTTCAAATGTGCATTTCTCACCACCCAATTAGTTTTAGATTATAAAGCCTAAACGTCCCTTCCAGCCTCATCAGAAGGGAGCTTGAGTGAGTGTGCAAGGAGAATCTGCACAAATCTCCTCAACTTTGGCAAGCCTCAAGGCATTTTTCTCCCACCCTGCCTAGGTCTGAGAGGAATGTAATCTGTATTCTCCTCAGACCCTTATAGCACTTTGTCTACTTGTGTTTAATATATTTTCTTAGGTATACACTCACTAGCTGACACCCCAGAAGCATTCAGGGTAGAGACAAACCACAGAGGGTAAGACTATGGGCTGTGGAATCCATCTCCTGTACTCCATAGTACAGGTAAACATTTCTGGGCTTCAATACTTATGGTTAAGGTAGTTATCAAGAGGAAGGGCCTATATCAATGTCAACTCTAATAAGAGTCTAATGTAGGTTATTATTGGAATAGCAATTTCTGAGTCATTAATTGAGTCCTTAATCCAAATAGGTGATGTGGGTACTGCCATTTTCCCCACTGTATGTCAGGCTGTAAGTATACATGGAGCCCATTCCCAGCTGACTGGAAATACCATCTAAATCAACTGAATTAACTATGCTGTTTACAAGTTGCCATTGTCTCTCAAAAGCATACTAAGAGATGGCAGTCTGTGTTAAATGAAATGTTTTTTTCAATTTCTAGTTCTCCCCCCTCAACCAGAAAACATCAAGATTTCCAACATCACCGACTCCTCAGCCGTGATCTCATGGACAATCTTGGATGGCTATTCTATTTCTTCAATTATCATCCGTTACAAGGTTCAGGGCAAGAGTGAAGACCAGCACATTGATGTAAAAATCAAGAATGCCACCATCACCCAGTATCAGCTTAAGGGTCTTGAGCCGGAAACAGCTTACCAGGTGGACATTTTTGCAGAGAACAACATAGGGTCAAGCAACCCAACATTTTCTCATGAACTGACAACTCTTTCCAAATCTCAAGGTTGGTAAAGTAAACAGATATTTGAGTAGAATTATTTCTGGAGTGCATTAGAAAGCCCCACTGACTTGAGATTTTTTTTTCCTCATCCCTGCACCTAGTGGTATCACTCAGTGGTCCTAATAGGCCTCACCATCTCCAAATAGGTCCTTAACATGGAAATGCCTCTGGGAAGGATTCCCTGTTGAACCACATTCTATTTTTAACCTTTAGACTACTTTATTTTTACAACAGTCTTCATTCTTGTACAATGTATGCTTTTTCATCTCAGTTGCAACCCCCATGGACTTCCCACCACCAATTCACCCATGTGCCATCACCTAAATTATTCTAATAGCACTCCCCTCCCAACTATCAGAGTTCTGAGGAATGTAAGTTTGAGTTTGTGGAAAATAAAAATGTGGAATCTACCAAGTAGAGGTGAACCAGTGTGGGTGCCTCAGTGGGTGGTCCCAAGTTCACTATGCTTTGCCCAAAGGAGCTCCTCTTTTAGTTTGTATGACACTGTACTATTCTGAATTTCCCATTTTTAAGACCCAGACTATTATGTCTCCACATCTATTACTAACACCCACCTCAGAGATAGCTCTTTGACACAGACCACCACGCACACCAAGCCCAGTGTTGGTAGTGGGTAAACCCTGTGGAGTGTTACTGATTAAGGGCAAGGGCCTGTGGTGAGTGGGGCTGCCTTCCTTTTGAAGCCTGTCTCAAATGGCACTTTCTAGTGCTGCTTACCGTGCAGCAGGCCAAGGGAATGTTGACAGAGGGAAATCGGTAGGATACAGTGATTTTTGCCAGTGTGTAACTCCGAGTAGAGTCTATTTTTACAAAAAAATCTTAGAGCACTGAAAACTTCTTGGTTCTTGAGAGGGTTACTTACCGTGAAAGAAAAGTTACAGAAGCTAGGTTTTCAGTGCTAATTCTTTGGAATATTTTTGAAATGCTCAAGGAGTGATGAGTTTGCCAATTATAGATGTAGTTTAATAAATGCTTGTTTTTTTTTATAATTACTTGTGCTTTGGTAAAATGCATACATTTTAAATCCAAGGTATAACAGTATGCAAACAAAAAACTAAAAAGTTAATATGTAATGAAACAATAACCCATATCCTCCTACTCCAGAACCATTATAACATCTGCATAGAGAGAAAGATAGCTGGTCATAAAAGAATAGCATTTTGCTTTCTATATTTTTTGCTAATAAAATAGATTGAATTTTGCTTTATTTGATTTAAATAAGGGGAAAATGGGGGAGAGATATACCATCATCTGTAAGAGGTTATTTTGGCTAGAACTCTAAATTAAATGGTTCTTGTCTGCCTCTCCCTCTCCCCTTGCTTCTTCTCTCCCTTCCTCTCTTCCCTTTTTCTTTGGTATTGTGGGGTTTCTCCCATCAATTCTTAAAGCAAGAAAAGAAAACCTCTTACAAATTCTTAGGTCTGAGCATCACAGGACTTTAAAGCTTTCCTAGGTGGAGAAAATGTCCCTAGGGAAGTTCAGTCACTCTCCCAAAGTGCTGTGTCTGGTCAGTTAGTTATTCCTGTTGCTTCACTGCACTGATAAGGAAACAGGAGTTGTGAGCAGGCTGTAGGGTGCAGGAGGCTGGATGCTCTCCAAGACATGATCCTGGCTTTTTTTATTCATATGGGACAAAGAGAAAAGGGTAGGTCAAACTGGAAATGTGATTGTTATTCAGGGCTTTAGGGAAGGTGAGTCCACTGATCAGGTGAATCACAGTGCTGACCCCTGCCTGTGGTTCTGATCTTACAGACAAGGCCTTCCACAATCTGTCTCTGGGAAGCAAAGTACAAGGTCAGCGGTCCCCTAGGCATTCCCAGTCATACTTGGTGATGTATGCCTGTCGTCCCGGGACAATCCAGTGTCCCACTCTTGCTTAACTTGAAAGGAACCTTGTAGGGTCTAGTTAGCAGATCCACACGTTCTCACTGTGATTTGATAATGTGCATGTGCCGCCATTTGCAAGTAACAGTTGAACAAATGACAAAGTTTTAGCAAGCAGCCATTTCAAAAGCACTTTTACATATTTAAAAAAATAGATTTTTTTTTCAGATCTTACCCCCAGATTTAATGGGGCTGTGGGACAGACTAGACATAATTAATTTCTGTACTATATAATTGATATTTTTACATTTTTTTTATGATTTATTTATTCATACAGAACTGGGGTACAGGCCAGAGATGCAGAGGGTGAGAGGATTCACCAGTGACAGAGTGGGGAGCAGAACAGGCAGATCGAGGAAGTACACTGCTGAGGGGAGCAGCGGGCGGGTCAGGAGAGGTCTGCCACGCCATGTGGTCTCCTCTGGGGCAGGCGGGGATCGAACTCAAGCAGAAGTGGCTTTAGTTTCTTGGTGCTATGCTTTAACCTGCTGCACCAGCAGGGAGGGTCCTTTTTTTTTTACAACGTTTGCTTTCTTTTCTAAAATGGAGCTTACAGCAAGTCCCTGAGTCAGACTCCTCTCCACTGAGTTTCAGAAAATAAAGGAGCATCCCAAGGTCACCTAGCAATCAGGTGGCGAGCTGGGCTGCCAGGGCATTTCTGTTACACTGTGACCTCTCGCTCAAACGGGGTTGACTCCTCTACCTTTCCTAACCCTGCCGCTTCTCCTGTGTTCTCCGGCACAGCCCCAGGGGACCTTGGAGGTGGGAAGATGCTGCTCATAGCCATCCTGGGCTCCGCGGGAATGACCTGCCTGACGGTGTTGCTGGCCTTTCTGATCATGTTGCAACTGAAGAGGGCAAACATCCAAAGGAGAATGGCCCAGGCCTTCCAAAATGTGGTAGTGTCTCATCTTCTTACTTGTAAAACATATTTTCCTTAGGCAAGTCTCACCTTTACTTCTTCCACTGTGACTACCTAATTGCTTGTGTGAACAACAATAATTTGGAGAAGAAAAAAGGCTTTTAATTATGATGGAGGCAGTTGAGTCTAAAACAGCACTATTGTCCCACCCCCCAAGGCAAGACCTATGGTCATCCCAGTAATAAGTCACCAGAGAGTAATCTTACAGTAGAAAGAAATGAACATTTTTTTTGTAAAGGAAGAAACAAGGGTAATTGGTGAAATGGGCAATGATGTAGGCATTAAACACATTTCCCCAGTTTGCCATTTCCGGTTTTCCTACCTTGATCAATCCCGTGTGTGTGTGTGTGTGTGTGTGTGTGTGTGTGTGTGTCTCCATATTCTATTACCACGTGTACCTCCTTCCCTATGTTCCCTCCTGCCTGTAGGCATAGTTCACACACTTGGCACTGCCTGATTCTTTCATCTACACATTTTGGCTGGCAGCAAAAATGCATAAAATTATACTGTCTCACTGGTGTCCTACAGGCCAGACTGCTCTAGTTTGTACACTGAGTTGTTTCCAAACCAGAAATGAACACCTGTCATCCACAGTAGAGCAAAAACTGAACTGTGACTAAATGAGAGTTGTGCCATTCTGTGGCATACATGCTGATAATCCCCCCTTCCGTGGTCTCAGCAGACATTACTAATCAATTTCAACTGCTTTGCCACTGAGTTCTGAGACTGTGACCAATGACTCTATAGGCAACCCATTCATTGGAGTGGGTCTATAGAATGAACCTATTGTTATATATACTCTAAAATCAGACATGCCATTCCTCCTCTCATCTGGTATGGATATAAACAAGAGGTATTACACATCTTAGAATTATGAAAAACCCTGACACAAAACCATGAAATAAATTTGTAAATTTTTTTCTCCAGAGGGAAGAACCAGCTGTGCAGTTCAACTCAGGAACTCTGGCCCTGAACAGGAAGGCCAAAAACAACCCAGATCCAACAATTTATCCAGTGCTTGACTGGAATGACATCAAATTTCAAGATGTGATTGGGGAGGGTAATTTTGGCCAGGTTCTCAAGGCTCGCATAAAGAAGGATGGGTTACGGATGGACGCTGCCATTAAGAGAATGAAAGGTCAGTGCCTGGCCCTGTGGAGCCAGCATTTCACCAGGGTGGGGAGAAAACTTGATTTCCTGTTGAATCTTTCCTCTTTGGCCTTATATTCTTTAAACAAAAAGCTAGTGTGCTGTAGGAGCACTGTTATGTGTAACTGAAGGTGATGCTTCCTTTGAGGTGGAGCCTGTGATTGGGTCAGGATGTAAATATGAAGTTGTGAGCTGTTTAAACAGCACAGGCCTGATTTCTGAGATGTGAAAGTACACAGCTTTGTCATACATTACTGACTTTTGGAGAGTACTTTTATTATTCTTATTGCAGTGGTTTTTAAACTGAATGTGTATCACAATGACATGGAAAACTTGTTGAAATAACTGCTGCACTCCAGTTTCTGATTGTTTGGGGCAGGATCAGAGATTTTGCATTTTTTAAGATTTATTTACACATACAGAACTGAAGTATGGATCAGAGGATTCACCAGACAGCGTGGGGAGCAGAACAGACATATTCACAAAGTACACTGCTGAGGGGAGTAGTAGGCAAGACAGGAGAGGTCTGCTATGCCATGTGGGTCACCTCTCTGGCCAGGGATAGAACTCGCGCTGAAGTGGCTGTGGCTCATTTCACAGCACTGGGCTTTAACCCACTGTGCCACCAGGAGAGGGCCCAAGTTTGCATTTCTAGTTAGTTCCCACATGATGCTGATCCTGTCTTCACAGACTACTTGCATTAAAATTCCTGGAGACATTGTTTAAAATGCATCTCCTTGGATTTCTCCCACTCCTAGTTTTACTGTATTCAAACTTCTGGGGTGATGCCTGAGAACCTCTGATCTTAACAAGTGGTCTCAGTGACTCTCTTCTATATTCAAACTTGAAAACCACTGGCCTAAGGCCACAATAATGAAATCTTTTCCAGTTGTATTCATCTCAAGGCTGCTTGGTGCCTACCCATTAAACATGATTGTGTCAGAAACATCCTCTGAGAAAGGAAAACATTTAGTCCACTAGCTGCCTAGCTGCCTTCTCTTCTGTGTGAAACTCAGATTTATTCATAACTTGACTATGGAGCTACCCTGTTGCTCTTTCAACACACAGACTTGGTGAGTGGTGTGTCTGATCAGGAATATAGTGAATTGCTATTGTCTGGTGCTCTGTACCAAGGTCCCTTTTAGGTTGCCTATGAGGCTTCCTTATTTTTAGCTAATATTGAGCCAAAGATGAGAATTAACCTTAAATTTTACATAATCTTCACTGCTTTTTTTATTGTTAAGAAGAAAAACATGTCAGAAAACAAACAGAACAAAATAGTATCTATGCTTAGCAGCCAGAAATCCCTTTTGTTTGTTACTTTTGTCATGGGGAGTTAGGGGTAGCAGTGAAGCTATCAAGAGGAAAGAGGGTACAGAAGCTTCCAAAGCCAGTTTTTCTTGGGAGCTGACTTGAGCCTGTTTGTCATTTTCATGCCTATGCAAAGAGATAAAATAGCTGAACCAGGGCATACAGTTTCTGATGTGTGATGCATCTAAAGGAGGACAGTTACTGACAGAAGGGGGGACCACCTCTCTGTAAAGAGCTTCATTTTTTAAATGCTCTCAAGGTATTGCAGTCAGTAGAGTGCTTGACTTGGAATTGCCGCTAGTCTTGTGGGAACCTTAGCCCACAAAAAACATTCCCATGGTTCCAAGCATGCTCAGGTCTTCCCACAGCCACCAGCAAACTTCCTACCCCCTCCCCATACCATTCCTTGTGGACGCTCACACACTGTCACCTAGTCTGGGCTCATCCGTTTGTGGTGTCCACCAAATCACCTCCTCTTCATCCTCGCTAGTGCCTGAGGGTTCTCCCTCTGATCACAGTGCTAGTGGAGAGAGAGGCTGAAAAGGAGAAACAAACACAATTCAGTTTTTTGACTGTAAAGCAGCTGCTATAGCATTATCATTGGAATTTGAAGTTTTTAGCAGGTCTGGTATATGAAAAGGTAAGTTTTATTAAGGTGAGGTGTGCACACTGTTGGTGATGTTTCACTGACACTGTGGTGTGACCCTGAGCATTGCTCTCGGAATAGGTTTCGTGGAGAGAGCTGGAGGCTGAAAGTGGCAGCTGTACTCTCTCCCCTCATATTTTAGAGCTTAGAGAAGAAAACTTAAACAGGGCTTCTTAATGCGGGTGATTTTTCCCTTGGGGACCTTTGGCAATGTGTGGATACATTTTTGGTTGGGTTACTCTCAGCTACATGCAGAGGCTGGAGAAGGTACTAAACATCCTACCATCCATGGAAAAGCCCCCAGGGACAAAGGAGAGTCAGCCCAAAGCGTCCACAGTCTGAGTGCTGCTGTTGCAGTATTCCTCCTGAGTTCTGCTCTTTTCCAGACCTGATGGTGACTGAGAGCACCTGAAGGTCCTGGGAACCAGGAGAGGGCAGTTGTTTCCTAAGAAGTTTAATGGGAAGGGATGACATTTCTTCCCAGAATATGCCTCCAAAGACGATCACAGGGACTTCGCGGGTGAGCTCGAGGTTCTTTGCAAACTTGGACATCACCCAAACATCATCAATCTCCTGGGAGCATGTGAACATCGTGGTAAGAAGCTCTTTCCTGTCTTTGCTGCCAGATTAGTTTTTCTTTTGAGACTGGCACATTCCACATTTAAATTAGGAGAAAGAACAATCTTTAAAAGATTAGCTATTTTTTTTTTTTAAGTTGGCATTTCAATCTGAATGTCTAGCCTCCATACACAGATGACTGAGGTTTGGCATCTTCTTGGATGTAGCCAAGGCTGGATCATTTGGTCTCTGATGTGGTTCAGCCATTACGGCCCAAAAGGTTATCCACCGTTGCTTTCTACAACCACCCTAGCTCATCCAGAGGTTTTCTCAGCTCTACCCTCAAGGCACTTGGGGACACCCTCAGTGTCAGAGGGAAATGCATTAGCTTGCTAGTGCCTCCCTGTTCGTTTTTCTTCCATTCCCCCAAAACCCATACCTGCTTGTTAAAAAGTACGAATGTCAACAAATGTGAAAGTGTTGACAATGCCTTGGTTGAAATAATAACAGTGCTTTGTATCTATCTAAAACAAAATTAACAGTGCTTTGTATCTATCTAAAACAAAATTACTGCACTGCCAATTTGGATTTTGCAATTATCTTATGGTGCATATACGCTAAAGTTCAACTTATACTATTAATTCAAATATATTTTGAATGCTTCCTATTGTGATATGTGTAATGAGCTGTAAAAGAGCAGGTAACAAAATATCTTGTATACCTCTTGTTTACCTCTGCATGCTACCTGGGTCTGCAGTTTGAATCCATGTCTAAATTTAATTTTACTCATGGAAAAATTTGCTCTCACTAAAAAGCTCCACACGGTAATTATTTACAAACCTGACAACCTCTGGTGGATTTTGCTGCACAAACACCAACAATAGAAAAGGGACTACTTCCTTTTCCTCAATTTATTAAACTAAAAATACTGGTGCTTCAAACAATATATCATTCTATGGTCTAATAAGGGTATAATTCTGAAAGTCAGATCATGTCCCTTAGGTTAAATAATAATGTAATGACATTTGTTTTTGAGTCATTTCTGTAAAAAGAAATCAATGGGTATAAATGAACATTGTGGAGGAAAGCACTGATAGCGGAAATAATTTTTTACAATTTTGCTTTCTCATGACATTAACCCGTAGTTGGTTCTTAAAAGTTGTAACTGAAAAAAGGAGCAAGGAAGCACATTCATTTTAGATACAAAAGTGAGTGCTAGAAGAAATTTTGTTTCCAGCATTCAATTTCTTAGAATAGCTTTAGAGCTCAAATTCACTTGACATTTTAATTTAAAACATGGCATACGGAAACATCTACATTAGAACAACACTTTATTTTTCGTTGGCTCTAGGGGTCAATATTTTTATCCAGACAGCGTTTGTATTTTTTGAAAAAGTATTTGGTCTAAAAATAAGACAGTGATCACAATTTGTTGAAGCACTATTATTTTTTCCCTAAAAGTTTTCCAGTTTCTGTAAGCAAAAGCCACGCCTGGCACTGGAATGTTGACCAGTGACCTAATCACTTGCCTGCTGCCTTACTGCCAGGTCTTGGTTTTCGGGAGTAGGCTGGGGACAAAGTAAGCTGCCTTCTCTTCCAATATTTTTTTTTAATAGCCTCAAGAAAAGCTAGAGGCAGAATCGAATTTGGTTTGCCATAGATGTTGGGAAAACAATGTTGTGAAAGACTGTTCGAGACATTATGGGGGAAAAAAAATACTCTGACGTCTCTGTACGCCTGTTAGTAAGTTGGTGAGGGGGTTCCGGAAGCCCTCAGCATTAGTTCACAGCTGGTAGGAACGAGAAGAGAGTGGGAAGCGGGGGCCCTGAGTGACGGGGCTGTCACTCACCTGCAGCAATGCTGTCGATAGCTGCTAGCTGTGTTACTTCTGGGAGCAGTTCCTGGGAACACAGCCTAGCTCAAATTCCACAGCCACTCTAAAGGGGTACCCCCCTCCCCCCACAGGCTACTTGTACCTCGCCATCGAGTACGCCCCCCATGGAAATCTCCTGGACTTCCTCCGCAAGAGCCGCGTGCTGGAGACCGACCCGGCCTTCGCCATTGCCAACAGTACGGCGTCCACTCTGTCTTCCCAGCAGCTGCTGCACTTTGCGGCGGACGTGGCCCGGGGCATGGACTACCTGAGTCAAAAGCAGGTTTGTTCCGAGGCGCTTGCTCTGGACATCTAGCCACTGAAATTCTCTTTTGTGAATCACAGTTTCAATTTGCACCTTTTTTTTTTTAATTTTTATACATCATTCTTCATTTTGTGCTTTTTTTTTTTTTTCATCTCAGTTGCAGTCACCATAGGCTTCCTTCCCACCACCAATTCACCAGTGTGCTATCAACACGGTCCAGTCAATTGGTACCTTTCTCCTCAAATTTACCTGGCCAATGGTGAACATAAATGTCACTCAGAGTACAGCTTCACACCTCTGTGCACATGCTTCAGTCTCTCAATTTGCACAGGTTTTTCAGTCACTCTCTCAAACTCCTTGTAAAAATCTCTCTAACTTGAATCTCTGGTTATATTACATCTTATATAGGAGTTAATGCCTAGTATTGCTAATGCATTTCTTTAGTGAATCTCATGTCTATTTGAAGTGCCGCAACCAACCTTAGTTTCATTAGGCTCCAAGTACTGCACAATAGCTGAGTTTTTCCATTGTAACTGGGTTTAAATAGCTGCTTTCCCCCCCTGAAATGACACTCCTATGACAAGGTGGATTGTGAAGCAGAATCTACTGAGGGTTTTGGAGAGGAACATTAAAGGGAATGAATTCTGGTGACTTTTTAAGATCCCCCCCCCCTTTAAAACCCCCATCTTTTTTTTTTTTTTTCCAAAATTTGCCTTAGAATTTCTGCTAATGAAATCAAGTGAGAAAGTAAATATGCTGAAAATACCTGATGTTTTGTTTAAATTTCAGTTTATCCACAGGGATCTGGCTGCCAGGAACATTTTAGTTGGTGAAAACTATGTAGCCAAAATAGCAGATTTTGGATTGTCCCGAGGTCAAGAAGTGTATGTGAAAAAGACAATGGTAAGTTCAGAACAGACACTGATAACATCGCCTGATGTCACTTCTCCCAGAATACCATTGTTCTGCAGTGATTGAGGCACCTGACCGGGGATCCCAGTAGATATTGTCCTGCCCCAGCAAACATCCTAAGTTTTGATCTCTAAGACAACAGATGACAGGGTCCACGAAGAAATGCTGCCTTGTGTGGCCAGTAACTGAACATTCAAGCCAGCTGGGTGGAGCTCTGTGTCCATGCACACCCCTAGCCTCTCCCACATCTCTGGCAACCACCTCCCCATCTCACACACCAAATGTAACAGGGTAACAGGCATCTGAAGGGAGAGTGACTGGCCTGACCCTATCATCAGGCCTGGTGAAAACTCACCAGGTGAAAGTTACTTCCCTCTATTGACAGAGAAGCATGCAGCTCAGTGGCTGAAAGGCTCTTTCCCCTCCATCCTCCTGGTAACCCCCTACACATCTTACAGAGCTGAATGCAAACGCTACCTTCCCCCACTCCTCCAGACACAGTTGGTCTCTGAAACACAACCTGAGCTTTTCCCACATCACACACAAACAAATTTTTCTTTATAAGGAACTGCTGTCGGGGCTCCTTGAAGTAAGCAGGACTTACCTTATTTACTTTGAATTCACACACACACTCATGGATGGAGCATACCCAGTTCCTGTGTCTGTCATACCCTGTGTCGTTCCAAACAGGGCTCCCTATGGACTTGAGACCCAGCTTCAGGCAAACTGGGAGCCTAGGGAGGGTTACCAGCCTGTGTAAGTGACATCTTACCTTGTTCTCTCCAGGGCAGGCTGCCAGTGCGCTGGATGGCAATCGAATCGCTAAACTACAGCGTGTATACAACCAACAGTGATGTGTGAGTAGCCTCCGATAGTGGGATTTTCCCAAAAAAATACGATGTGGGGGAGGTTTTAAAGAGAAGCAGGACTGTGCCATCAGTAAGCCTAGGAAGTAACCTCACAGAATCAAGGGGACAGTTTTCAGGGTGGAAAGCAGTGGCCCTCCTGTGGCTTCATTCCCACACTGGCCTGTGCACCAGGCCTGGATCAGAGGAGGGAGCAAGAAGAGACGCTGAGGGCCAGAGCCGGTAGGCACAGGGGAGGTCAGGTGGGCCAGCATTGAGAGCAGGTATCCTACCTCACACCCTTATTCTTAGGAAACACTAAGCCCCAGAGTGGTGAGTGACCTGACCTTTCCCAGGGCAGGGTGTGTGTGTGTATGTGTGTAGGGTCACACTGGGGACAGGAGGGGCTGTAGTGCCTGTGTCCTCACTGTTATCGCAATCACCTCTGCAACACTCTTAGGTAGAAATTGAGGACTGAGAAGATTACACTGAGGCCTTAAGAGGTTCAGTCATTTGTTCTGGTCATGGGTGTATTAAGGTCAGAAATGCGATTTAACTCTGCCCTGTCCAGCTTAGCATTTGTATCTGCAGTCCATGGTACCAGCTCTCATTTTCTCCCTAAAGAGAGTGGGGCTCTGGTAAAGCTTACACTGTTTGTTACGAACCTTCCACTGGGCTAAGGAAAAGAAATGTGCGCCAGGTACAAAGCCCTATTCTAGGAAGCTGGCACTATGTGCTCCAAAGAAAGGCACAGTCCTAGCTTTGGGTGTAGAAAATTGGTCTGTGAGCTGATTATTGGTTTCCTGTCCCCCCTTCTGCAGATGGTCCTATGGTGTGTTACTGTGGGAGATTGTTAGCTTAGGTGAGTATGACACCAGGCGATGGGGGTGGGCCCCTCACATTAATTTCATCTGAATGTGGTGCCACCAGAGGCGGCTTGGGCATAGAACTATAGGAGTTCCCAGGCTCTCATTTGCTTGCTTCTCTTGCCAGCGGCCCCATCTCTAGCAGTATGTTTAGTACCGATGAACCTGGTAATGTGACAGTAGGTGTTCCTACCTGTGCAGAGATGGCATAGGATGTCTGTGCAAGGTGACTTCTATCCCTTTCAAATGGCATCTGATTCAGCCACACTGTAAAGGCCTTCCCATGTATATGAAAACGTGCTTGCAAAACCCAGAAAAACTTCACTTACACTATGATCCCAGTTTTAGGGTAGACACAGAATGTATAATAAAAGCTACTGTGTTTTTCCTTTGTATTTTCCAAGTTGGTAATACATCACCATGTATTACCTCTGTTATTAACATTGGACAGTAACTGTTACTAGGCAATTCCTATTTGTATCAATACAGGCTTCTTTTAAGAGAAAGATGCCTCTCACTCTAGCACAATTCTACAGGAGAGAAGGGACAGCACTGTAAGTTGGGGGACCCTGTGCTGGATCTCACTACGGAAGCAACAGCCATGATGCACTATGGGCCGCAGCATATAGCGGGTTCACCAGAGAGGCAAGATCACACTGGTGCTCACCCTCCCAACTATCTCCATCTTCCTCCGAGGCTCCTGCCTTCCCAACCGCAGGGGCTCACAGCACTGCTCCCTGTTTTCCAGGTGGCACCCCCTACTGTGGGATGACATGTGCAGAACTCTATGAGAAGCTGCCCCAGGGGTACAGGCTGGAGAAGCCCCTAAACTGCGATGACGAAGTGTAAGTCCAACCTCACCCTGGGAGGTCTTTCATCTTAGCTGTCTCCCGCCTCCATGCTGAGACTCACTGAAACAGGGGCTACGAAGTGCCTGCCAGAGCCCTCTGCACACACACATGCACTGTGGTCCCTGACAGCTGGAAGGCAGGCATGAGCTTTCGAGGCATAAACATCCAGGAGGAATTTAAGAGGATGATTTGGGGAAAGGTTGAAAAATGGAAGGCAACAAACACAGGAAGAACTGAAATTCATGACACTGGTCATGAATAAATGTATGAAGCCCTGAGACAAACTTTAGGGATAGAGATTTCAGAGCTGTTCCTTAAGGAAGATGGATTTTTTCCTTCATAGAATCTTGCCTTCTGCAGGCCCTGTGTTCACTGCAGCACTACTGACAATAGTCAAGATACGGAAACAACCTAATGCCCATCAAAGGCTGGATGAATAGAGAAAATGCTATATACGCATACTCAATGGAATACTACTTGGCTCTAGAAAATAATAAAGCCTTGCTATTTCTAACAACATAGAGAGACCCTGAGAGTATTATGCTAAGCAAAATTATCAAACAAGACAGACTCTTAGATACAGAGAACATAAGAGTGGTTACAGGAAGGGCTGGGAAGTGGGTGAAATTGAACAATTACATGATGTTGGAAGAAAATTAGACTTTTAGTGGTAATCATGTTGTTGTGTATATTTCATATAGCCAAAGCTTCTTTAATGTTCTAGAGTTAACAAAAAAAAAAAAGTATTTAAAACCTAGTTAAACAGGTTGGTTTTTTTGTTTTGTTTTTCCTTTTTTTAATAGAACTTCACAAAGAGTCTTTGAGAATATGCTTATCCCTAAACGGAGTTGCTACAGGTAGCATTTTGCAAATCAAGCACTAACATTTTGAGATGTTGTTTTTCAAGGGAACTGGTGTCCAAAAACATTGTACATTATAAAAATTACTGTGAGCAAGATAGTGAGGAAATGACACTTAGAGTGCACACTAGAACTACTGGGAGAAGAATGGGCCGTCGCTAGGGAGGTACGAGCCTGACAGACTTCCTGGACACTGTACCTGGCACTTGCTGGCTAAGCCTGATGGCCACACCTGATGGCCACACCTAGCCCTAAGTATGGTTGCTGAGTTAATCCTTTGACTCTTTGTTTCCAAAGGTATGACCTAATGAGACAATGCTGGCGGGAAAAGCCTTATGAGAGACCCTCATTTGCCCAGATTCTCGTGTCTTTAAATAGGATGTTGGAAGAACGCAAGGTGAGGACTTCAGGGACTCTAATTGGAATTCCTCACGTGCCTGGTATAACTCAGCATATTCTTTCGGGTATAGCACTAGATATTATAGGGGCATGAAAGATGTCGCTCCCAATTTGGAGGAAGTTAGTTTTGGAAGAAATAAAATTTCTAGATAAGATGTAGTTACATATGGTAGAATACACAGAATTAGCCAATTTGAGATAGACGGGATCCCCTCAGTCATAGATCCTGACCCTTTTATTTCACAAAGAAACACTCAGAGGTGAAAGTGACCAAGGATACAGACAAGTAGCAAATAGGGTCTGGTCTACAGATTACTAGGGTGAGGGTCAGGAATCCTATGCAAATATCTAAAACATAGTTGTCTATATACACCTGAGGTTTAAACGACATATCTTGGCTAGAGAGGTATATTTTGAAAGTCATCAAGACCCTAGTCGTCATTAAATCAGAAGTGTGGAGAAGTTAAAAAGTGGACAAAGAAGCCTTAGAGAACCAGCTATGTCAAGAGGGAGGAGGAGAGAGTGGAAGACAGGAGGCAGCTCAGAGACTTGGGGAAGGGAGAGTATGAACTCCTAGTTACACCTGCATGTCAGCAAGAAAGTCACCAAATGCAAAAGATTGAGGGCAGAAAAGCACCCTCCCCGTGCCTAGTACCTGACCTAAAGCAAGCTAAAAAAGCCAGAATTGCTGGAACTTCCCAGCAAAAAGTAATTGGAGCCACTGTTCTCTGAGCTGCTCTTGTCTTCTAGACCTATGTGAATACCACCCTCTACGAGAAGTTCACCTACGCAGGAATCGACTGCTCTGCGGAAGAAGCAGCCTAGGACAGCTCACCTTCATCTGTCATGCTGTTTTCCTTCACTGGCCCGAAAGACCCTTTGCACACCGATGCTGAGGAAGCTGAGAGACTCTGCCAAGAGCTGTGACACAGGAGTGTAAATATCTGTGCGTCTGGGACCTTTGCCGCAAACTGCCCCACACACCAGTGGATCTGCAGGATTCGCTGACTCTGATAGGGCTGTATATACTGTTTTGAGTAAGAATGTGCTGAATCAGAATGTTTGTGGTTTCATATGCAATAATATATTTTTTTCTAAAAATGTGGACTTCACGGAAAGGTGTGAGAATACAATTGCTATAATGTATATCTCATTATTCTAGGTATTTTTGTATTTACCTTTATACTGAATGTTACACAATGTTTTGCTGTGTAGAAGTAAAATGTTAATAAAACGATCCAGCTACCATGGGTGAGAAAAGTGAGGCAAATGTATAAATTCTAACAGGACAGAGCTTAACACTGGAGAGATGCAAAACCCAATTTCTATAAAGAGATACCTTTCTATCTCTAAATTTTCTCTTGACCTGTAAAAGCAACCCAGTTTCATCACTCTGTGTTTCCAGAGTCCACACTGCTAAAATCTATGACTTAAGTCTCATTTCTTAGAAATCTAAGAGTCTTTGAAAAAATTTATGGGATTTAGCTGTTAACGTCTCTGGTAACATTGATGTGTGTATTTTAAGAAATAAAAATAGAAGTCCTGGAGCTGTTTGTAGACATGTGATATTGACCACATCAAATGAACATCCCTACACAACCTGCACACTGTCAAAGTGTTCCTTTAGTTCTGTTATGAGCTTACCAGTTATCCTGCAGCATCCTGCAGCATACGCGACACTGAGATCATACAGTGAAGAGCTGCCCGAGAGCACTACCTGTGGTCCAGGATTGTGTCTCAGGGGTATTTTGAAATGACTTTTAAGAGAAACTCATTATCAATTCCTAACTTGTCAATCACACACACAGAGCAACTAGTAAATATATTTTACCTCATGAGCTGGCTCAAGTTCACAAGGCATGAAACACCTCCCAGAAGTGTAATGTTGTGTGGGTCATTTTCTTGCCCCTGGGCAGGACACACCAGGCTGCCCTGCAAACAAAGGATCTGGAGTTAGAATCCCTTTCAGTTGTATTGCAGTGTGTAGTAGTTCAACATACTGCACAAAGTTGTATATTCCTGCTTTCTAGTAACTATGTATTCTATGACCAGGAAATCAAATTAAGTTATAACTATTATAAAAAAAAAAAACAATATACAAGAGCAGGGTTTCCTGCAACAGTTTGATTTTCATTGCATAAATTTAAAAAATCATGTCCGTATGAAATTAGTTTACATCACATACATGACTTCAAAGTCAACACATGGCTAAGGGTACCTGTGGTAGCAAGAAAAAGATAGTCAAAGAGCATTAAGATTTACTTGTAAATTAAATACCAACGCTACAAACCTGAGGTATGTTTGTGGGCATTAACATCACAGCTGTCAAAGGGCAACTAACTTATTCTGGTGCAGACACGTATTATTGGTTATTTTGAGTTAGTCATACCATTGGAAAAGAAATGTTTGCTGTTCTAAGGCTGGTAGCAGTGTTAATATTGAAGATGCATGATCTGTGACTCAAAAGTTAATAGTCAAATTAAACAAGGCAAGTCATTCCCCTAAGCCAATTTCCACATTATCAAAGAGAAATTAAGAAAAACTAGTCCTTCAAAGGGTTTAGGCAATTAGCAAGTTGGAAATATAGACTACACCTTAATATGTTTAGGAGATACACAGCATACTAGTTTCAAAAAAAATTATATGTAATCATGATTTAAAATTAAGTGACAGTATGTCAGTTAGAATACAAGTTCCCTAACAGCCAAATAACCAAATCTTTGAGTTTGCTAAACGTTTACAATGTACTTTCATAATTTGTGAGGAAAAACTACTACTTATATATAGAAGATCTGCAGAAAACTGTTAGTTTTATTAGGCAAAGGTATTTAGAGAAAAAAATGTAGGTGATGTGAAAACAACTTTTGTGAAAGCCTTGAACCTGTTACTTCACCTTGAAACATCTTCCACTGTTAGCTACACACCAGTCAGCACAATGAGTTGAAAATTAAAACTAACTTTAACTCCCCGCTTCTTGCTCCAGTCACAGCTTTATAAATCACCATGGAAATTTAACCTGTAAAATGTAATAACCAAACCATAACAACTCATTTTTCCTTCTCTTACTCACTTTCAAAGTGTCAAGAAAGTTCCCCAACAAAGACCAAGCTCAACGGTTGGCAGTGGAGGGCTTAGGACTCTCAGGCACCGCAATGCAGGGAGAGATCGAAGATGTTCCTGGGCAAAGTGATGACCTCCTTCCGGAACCTCAGGTCTTGCCTGACCTTCTAGAGGGCCAGTTCCAAGTAGGCAGATGCATTTTCAATTGAATTGTGACCTCAAATAATACAGAAAATAAAATAACATTATTTCACTGATAGCAGGAGCATAAGGGATTGGGGGGGGGGAAGAAGCAACTGTAATAAAGTAAAAAACAAATCAACAAACAACTATAAACAAGAGACATTCTACGGGGGAGGAGATGGGGACAGGGTCAAAACTGGGGCAGGAAGAGAACATGGGACTATGTGATGGCACGGGGGTGAACTGGTGGCGGGAAGTCCATAAGGATTACAAATGAGATGCAAAAATGTACAAAATTAAGAATGAGATTTAAAAATACATTACGGCCCTCCCTGGTGGCGCAGCGGGTTGGAGCACAGCACTGAGAAGCTAAAGCCACTTCCACATGAGTTCGATTCC